ATCAGCAACAAGACTGTTCGCTAATGCTTCTGGGGTGGGGGGGGGGGGGAGAGGCCGCGGATACACGGATCTGGACAACTATGTAGCCGATCGCGAGTCTCTGGGCCAAGATTACCTTCCTCCAGCAGGCCAAGATGTAACAGATTCAGTATCGGTGGCTGATGGCAAAAGAGCGGTCCAATGGGTGGATGATGATGACCTTTGCTGAGGGGGGAGGGGGGGCGGTGGGGGTGTGTGGGGGGGGGCTGGCACAGGCTCGGGACGGGGAGGGAGCCAATTGGAGGAGGCCATCCTTCCCATCCATCCCGGGACGATGAGAGGGAGGTGAGGGAGGAGGGGGGGGGGGAGGAGGTGGGAGGGGGTATGAACGGAGAAGCCGAGGGAGAGGAACACACCTCACTCGTGTTTGAGGAAGGGAAAGGAGGCATGGCGGGAGGATACCGGAAGAAGAAGGGCGCTGCGACGAAGAACAAGGCCTTGCACAAGGCGTACCGGACGCGCAACTTTACCGGTGCCAGGACCAGATCTACGACGACTTGCAGACGGCCAAGCGGGAGAAGCTGATGAACCAGGCGGTGGACTACGATCTTCCGGGCAAGGGTCAGTTCTATTGCGTCTCGTGCGCCAAGCACTTTCTGGATTTGGGAAATCTCGAGCAGCATCGCCGTGGCAAGCCGCACAAGCGCCAGCTGAAGCGCCTCCGCAAGGAGAAGCCGTACACCCAGGCCGAAGCCGACGCTGCTGGCGGCATGGGCGCCGTGGACAATGGCAAGGAGGGCCTTGCTCCGGGTCTTCCGGCCATGCTGGACGATGCCAAGCGTGCTGCTGCTGTCGATGCTCTTGAGGCCGTCACAGCGAGCGCCATGGCCGCCAAGGCCGTCGACGCCCTGCCCTCGCTCGCTCCCCAGCCCGCCATCCCGGCCTCTGACTTTGGTTCGGGCCCGGCGCTGCTGGCTACTTCGGAGGGGCTCGTTCCGTCGGGCGCCGCCGCCTCTGTTGCTGCCACATCCGAGTCGTCCGAGATGTCTTCGATGGCGATTGCGTAAAGGTATTTGTGTGTGTGTGTGTGTGTGTGTGTGTGTGTGTGGGGCTAGTTAGGCGTCGCGCTTGGCCTTGACAGCGGCGATGATGGCCGGGACGACGGCGGGGTCAGCCAGGGTGGAGACGTCGCCGAGGCGCGACTCCTCGCCGGTGGCGATGAGGCGGAGGATGCGGCGCATGAGCTTGCCGGAGCGGGTCTTGGGCAGGCCTTCGACAAAGACGATGTTCGAGGCGGCAGGCTTTGCAAACGAGCCAATGCCCTCCTTGACGGCGTCGCGCAGCTCGTGGGCGAGGTCGTCGCTCGGCTCGTAGCCGTTGTGCAGGATGACGTAGACAAAGATGTCCTGGCCCTTGAGCTCGTGCGGGATGCCAATGGCGGCGGCCTCGACGCAGGCGTCGTGGTTAACAACGGCGGCCTCGATTTCCGCGGTGCCAAGGCGATGGCCCGAGACGTTGACAACGTCGTCGACGCGGCCGGTGATCCAGTAGTAGCCGTCCATGTCGCGGATGGCGCCGTCGCCGGTAAAGTAGTTGCCAGAGTACGCCGTCATGTACGTGTTGAGGTACCGCTGGTGGTCGCCGAGGACGGTACGGCACATGCCGGGCCACGGCTGCTGCATGACGAGTACGCCCTCGACCTCGTTACCCTCGATGACGTTGCCGGTGTCGGGCTCGACAATGGCCGGCTTGACGCCAAAGAACGGCAGGGTGGCCGAGCCAGGCTTTGTCGGCGTAACGCCGGCAAGGGCGGTGAGCATGTGGCCGCCGGTCTCGGTCTGCCAGTACGTGTCGACGATGGTGCACTGCTTAGCGCCAACGACCTCGTTGTACCAGTTCCAAGCGAGCGGGGCAATGGGCTCGCCAACGGTGCCGAGAACTCGCAGCGACGAGGTGTCGTACTTTTGGACCGGCTCGCTGCCGTACTTCATCAGGGCGCGGATGGCGGTGGGCGCGGTGTAGAGCTGGGTCACGCCGTGGCGCTCGACCACGTCCCAGTACCTGCCGGCGTCCGGGTAGAGCGGCGTCGACTCGAAGAGCATCGACGTTGCGCCGTTGGCCAGCGGGCCGTAGCAGTTGTACGTGTGGCCGGTGATCCAACCGATGTCGGCCATGCACGCAAAGACGTCATCGTCGCGGAGATCAAAGGTGTACTTGTGGGTCATCATGGCCCACACCAGGTAGCCGGCCGAGGTGTGGAGCACGCCCTTGGGCCGCCCGGTCGAGCCCGAGGTGTAGAGCACAAAGAGCGTGTCCTCGGCGTTGCGGACTGCCGGCACACAGTACGGCCGGGCCTTGGCCATCAGGTCCGCCATGTACACGTCGCGGCCGGCGACAAACGGCACGTCCGGCCCAGTCTCGCCCGTGCGCTGGTGGACGATGACCAGGTCGACGCCCGGGCACTCAAGGAGCGCCTCATCGACCGTCTTCTTGAGGTTCGTCCGCCGCCCACCGCGCACGCCCTGGTCCGCCGTCATCACCACCCGGCAGCCGGCGTCGAGGATGCGGTCGCGGAGCGCGTCGGCCGAAAAGCCAGCAAAGACGACCGAGTGCGGCGCGCCGAGCCGCGCACATGCAAGCATGGCAAAGATCGCCTCGGGCACCATCGGCATGTACAGCGCCACGCACTCACCGGCCTTGACCCCGGCGTCGCGCATGCCCGACGCGAGCTTGCACACCTCGCGGTGGAGCTCGCGGTAGGTGAACTTGCGCACATCACCGGGCTCGTCGCCCTCCCAGATGAGTGCAACCTTGTCGCCGCGCGTCTTCAGGTGCCGGTCCAGACAGTTGACCGACACGTTGAGCTCGCCGCCGAGGTACCAAGCGATGTCGCCCTCGGCAAACGAGCCGTGCGAGACGGTATCAAACTCGCGATGCCAGGTCACCAGCTCCTTGCCCATCCGGCTCCAGAACCCGTCCGGATCCGTGATCGACTCGTTGTACATTGCCTGGTACGCCTCCAGTGACTGTCTCCCCCCTCCCCCCCCCCGGCTCCGCTCTGTGAGTCGCGCACTGTCCTGCCCACTTCCGCCAAGCAAAGAAAGCTGGTGGCGCGTAGCCGAACAAGCAAAAAACGGTCACGCTCGAGCGCGCCGAACTGGCGGCCAGGGTGGGCAATGTCACGGCTGTACAGGGCGGACTAGCTCGCATGAGGGAGTGCAATTTGGCAAGGGAAGAGTCAAGCAACATCTCAATCGCCTCATGCTATGTGGCGCTTACCTCAACGTTGGCAGCCGTCTGCGGCGGCGGGTGAAGCTGGGTCATCTCGGGGCGCCCGTCGCAGGGCGAGGCAGTCTCGGACATGTTCCTGATTCTTTGATGGGGGGAGAAGTGGGGTTGTGTCTCATGGCCTATTTTCGATGCCATTGTCACACACCTCAACTCTTGCCTCGCGACTCGGGTGGGAGCAGAGCCATCATTTTGGGGCGGGGGCTACGGACAACTACGGGCGGCGCGACGACAGTGGCCGCTGGCGGTCATCAGATCAAGGACTAATGGGAGCTAAGCGACTTGAGGTTCGACTTGAGAATGGTCGAGTAGGCGATGGAGAACTGAACCCTGTTCCGAGGGCGGACAACCGTGGAGATCTTGCACTTGCCAGACCGAGCCCGGATGAGGCATCTTGCCTCCTCCACCACGTTCTCGTTCTTCTTACCCTTGTTCTGCACCACCTCTTCCACGACTGCGATTGTCTCGATGACGATTGATGACGAGCAATCGATGGTGAGGAAGATGGGAGGGGTGACGACGATGACGGGAAGGGTGGGCGGGGCGACGAGGGAGAAGGGTGGGGGCGACGATGGTGACGATGGTGACGAGGGAGAAGAGCGGGGCGACGAGGGGGAAGGGTGGGGCGACGACGGTGACGACGGAGAAGAGCGGAGCGACGACGATGACGAGGGAGAAGAGCGGAGCGACGAACGTCCAAGTCCACCACACCCAAACCAAAGGCCCAAGACCACCACGTTGGCCACCCCCATACATCCAGATCAACACAATACCCATAACACATGTAAGTCATCCCTAACCCCCTCCCCCCCCGCCTCTCCCCTCCCCCCCCCCCTGCTCCACCTTCCCACACCTACCGTGCTTCATGGTGAGCGAGACAGACGACGGGTTGTCCTTCTCGCCAGCCTTGCGAAGGAGCTTGCCCATCTCAGCAAGAAACTCATCATTGCTCAGACGCGGCATTGCCTTCCTCTACTCTGTACTCACGACGGGTGTGTGGGTGGTTCAAGTAGCTTTACCGGACGGCTCATCCTCCACGTCCTCCTCCACCTCCGTCAACGATGGCTGACTCGCACTCTCACTCACCTCGACACCACCGATCGATCGCTCCCTCGCTCGGTTGCTCGGTTGCTCGGTCGGTCAGGGTGCAACGCACAGAATCGATCGATCCTGCGCTGTGTCCGCTGCTCTTTCAAACTACAGAGACATCGTTATCACGGTTCATGGCAGTGGCCTGCAGAGCTATTGCCATCTTACTGTAGAGTGAGCGCGATGTGCGAACGGGGAGATCGGTCGGTACGAGTCGGTCCCGGCTACCGCGCAGCTCTCGAGCCAAGGCCATGACGCCGCTGATCAGAGCTGTTTCACGACATTGGTCCCTACATCGCACAGCGAGCTTGAAGGCCGAATCCCCCTCTGACCCTCTCTCCTTTTACCTATTGCAGCTCGCTGTACTCGCGGCCTGCCACAGCAGCATCTGGGGCAGTGCGGCGAGCGGCTGGTGGCTGAGCCGGTTCGTTTCGAACGAACGGCGGAGCAATTGAGCTCGCGCGAATGAATGGAATGAGTCACACTGTTTTTCACTTTGGTATCTCTCTCACTGCCTCACCATGCTCATTGCCAAGAAGGTCCGCGCTGGTATCTACAAGAAGCTGTTCCAGGGTACGTACACTAGGTGAATAAGGCATCCCTTTCCCCTTTCCACACCCATGCACTCCATACCGACCTGCTCGGCCCTGGCCACCCGCTAGCCCGTTATCGGTGGCGGCCGCTGGCAGGGTCAGCGGCGGTGGCGGTGATGGGCATCGACGTTTTTGCGGGCCTCGCACCGCTACCTCTAAGTCTAGGGGCCGACACCGCTCAGTATGCAGCGACCTGACCCCACTGCTAGCTCTTCCACATGGAGCTCTGCACGCTTCGCCTGGTTGGGCTCCGGCTGGATCCTTGGAGTGGCTACCGGGTCTGTCGGCGTGAGGCCGTGGATGGTGCAAAATTGTTTGTGTCTGCGGGGCGTCAGCCCTAAAGCCATGGGCAAGGCCGAGGTGGCGGGAAAGTAGCGGTGTAGAGCATGTCTGTCCAGACGCGTAAGGGTGCATGGCGCAAGTAGCTGGTCGTGTAACTCATTGGTGTGGTATATGTGTGCTCGCTTTGTGTGTCTGTGTCTGTGTGTGTGTCTGTGTGTGTGTGTGTGTGCAGACGGCGTCTGCGTCGTCAAGAAGGACACGGCCCTCCCAAGCACCCGCGCATGGCGGCGACCAACCTGGAGGTCATGAACACGATGAAGTCGCTGAAGTCGCGCGGCTTTGTCCGTGAGACGTACGCGTGGCAGTACTCGTACTACTTCCTCACCGACGAGGGCCTCGACTACATCCGTGAGTTCCTTCACCTCCCGGCCACCATCATCCCGGCCACCCTCAAGAAGACCCAGCAGTCGCAGGTCCGCAATGCCGGCGGCCGCGATGACCGCCGTGGTGGCCGCGGCGACCGCCGCTCCCGCGACCGCGACTCGTTCCGCGGTGAGGGCAAGGACAAGAAGACCTCGGGCTTCGACTCCAAGTCGGCCACCTTCCATGGTGCCCGCGGCGCCGGCCGTGGCGCTGGCCGTGGTGCCCCGCGCTCCTGAGTGCTTGAGCAGCAAACAAAAACAAAAGAACTCTATCCGTGTGTGTGTATGTGTATGTGTGTGTTGGTGTGTGTATGTGCTTCTGTAAGGGCGTGGTGTCGTGATCATGATCAACCCCTCCCTCCCCCCCCCCCCCCCCCCCCTCCCTCCAACTTGTCAGTCATTGGACGAGGCAGACTCGTCGTGACCGGCACGAGGCTCACACAGGCACTACCGAGCAATAAGGCTGGTATGGAGACCCAGACTTATATCATTGCACCTGGAGACACATTGGCGGTAGGTGTAGGGAAGGGAAGGCATGGTGTGTGTGTGTGTGTGTGGTTGGGGGAGGTGGGGGGCTTGTCGAACATGGTCACCGAGCGCGACGACGGGCTGCAGGGGACAGCCCGTAGGCGATGACGAGAGGGCGATGGCGGTGACGACGACGACAACAATGGCGACGACTGCAACGATGTGCCGGATTGCTAGAGCAACATAGGACAGCACATGTGCTTCTCCATGCTGTTCGCTGCCATGGCTGTCTCTGCTGTCGTCGGTCGTGGCTGCGTAGCAGTGCGTCGGACGCTGTCACGTGCGAGTCGATGACTCAGAGCGGCGTGACGGCAGCACAGGGCAGGGCAGGGTGTTGACTCACACATTGCTGGTTCACGTTGATGAGGGGGATGGTGACAGGGCATCGCGCTGAGGCATGGATGCAGCGCGGCGGACTTGCGACGGATCAACAACTTGGTGTCGGACGCTGGCCTGCACGCGCGATCGACCCTCCTGGTCCCTACCACAGAGCCCAGGCCCAGTGCTAGCGCAGGCGTGGCTGACGCAGGCGCGGGCGTAGGCTTTGCTGTACCGCAGGCAGCAGCGCCGGCGACGCTTGTCCCGCGCATGGTTGGGGGCGGCGCCGATTCTGGTCCTGACGACGAGAAGCTTGACGATGATGGCGGCAATGGCGCAAAGAAGATCTCGCTGGCAGGAGCATCAGGCTCGTCGGTTCTCGACTCGCTGGCGGCGCTGAATGCGCGGCTAGCCTCGATCAACCGCTCCAACGCGGCGCTAACCAACTCGATGACGTCGGCTGCGGCGGTGGCGTCGTCCAGCGCACGCGCAACGCAGCGGGCGCGGGCTCAGACTGTGCTCGAGGCCGAGCTCGACGACGAGAGCCGCTCCGACTCGTCCGGACTCGATGATTTTGAGTCTGGGCTTGTCGACGCATCAGTGCGTGCCGGCCCGCGACTGGGCGGCCCGTCGTCGGTCGGTGTGGTCAAGTCCAACGTCCAGCGGCGGATGGCAGCGGCGCAGAATGACATGTTTGGGTTGTAGCGCCCGGATCGACACTGGCTTAAAGAGAGTGTTCATTGTGGCTACACTGAGCCGCCGTCGTCGGGCCCCTGGACAAGTGAAGTGATGGCAAAGAGAACAAAGAGCGCGCCGCCGACGTACGAGACCGATTTGACCGAGATGCGCTCGGAGAGGACCTGGCCACCGACAACAGCGACGCCGGTGCAGAGCGCATGGCCGAGAGTGCCGCCAAAGGTGACACCATACGGATTGCGCGAGGCGGCCATGATGATGGTTGCAATCTGCGAGCGGTCGCCCCACTCGGCGAGGAGGGTGAGCAGGAAGCACTGCGCAAAGATGGGCGAGACGAGCATGGCATACCACGGAGCGGCCGAGCCCTTGCGCGCCTTCTTGCCCGACCGCGGCCGCCGCGGCGTGCCCGGCCCGGCGTCCTGCAGTGAAATGCCAAAGTTGGTTGCGCCGCCGGCAAGCCCAGCCTCGACGTCGGCCTCCTCCGAGTCAGATGACATGAGGTGCTTCTCGCGAAGCTCGTCCTGCACCTCGATCAGCTCGTCGTTTTCCTCATCGCCCTGCATCTCGTGCGCCTCTTTGAGCAGGCGAACGCCAAAGATGGCAAACAAAATCGTGGCGATCCAGTGGGTGTACTCCCGCGGAACGAGGAGCGGGACGACCCAGCCCATGGCCGCCGAGATGGCCGTCATAAAGCCGAGCGCTGCCAGCGCTGCCAGAAAGATAATCATCCGCGGGTGCCGCATCGAGAGAATGCAAGCAATGAAGAACGTCTTGTCGCCAATCTCAGACACAATAATCATCGAGAGCGCCGCCATCGACGACGCCACAAAACCGTCGTCGTCGTTGGCCGCCGCCGCCGTCTGTGAGCTGCCCTTGGCCGAGCCGACCACGTCGCCATCCTTGCTGCCTCCACTCACCGCTCCTCCGCCACGACGCCGATCCACGCGCCCACCATCATCGCCCACCGTCTTGCTCTTGCTCTTGCTCTTGCCCATCCCGTCAGCCTTGCTCATAGGCGGCGTGCCTCCCGCCGCCCGGCCCGGCCCGGCCGTCGCCGCTGCCTCAGCTAGCATACCCACAGCCATGAGACACAAGACCATGCCCACCACAACCACATTCTTCCGTACAGTCATCCGCATCCTTCTGCACCTGGTTGCGGAGACGTGTGCTTTCCCCTCCTCCCTCCACTCGCCCGTCCATAGCCTCGCTCCGCGACTCGGCCTCGCAGCTATCTCCCTGCCCGCCACGTTGCATCTTTGCCGGCTCGGCACACTCTCGCCCTGTGCAGAATATTTTTGGCGGCTCCACGTGTCACGAGTATCATGTCAGCATGTCGCCTACGATTGGCCCCCCCCCCCCCCCCCCCCCAGACCGCTTGGACCATTGTTGTATTGTTGTGAGTTGATGAGATCGGTTGTGAGTATAGACAAGTGGGCGACTGAATGATCGGGTGACCCGGAAAGATGGATGACCCTACGATTGTACAACCGTGCGACCGTACTTGGTCGCTTGTGGAGCGTAGCGGGGGAGGGGGAGGGGGGGGGGCGCGTTCAGACCAGCGGAAGGGCGGAGACCGGTTGGGCGACGACGACTCGACAAGAGACGGAGCGGCGGAGGTAAGACGGCAGCGAGCGCGAGCAGAGGGCAGACTTAACTCTATCTCAAGCATGGGTGTTACCAAGGAGACGACCAAGGCCGGCGACGGCGAGACGTTCCCCAAGACGGGAGACACGGTGGTGATGCACTACGTGGGCACGCTCAAGGCCGACGGGTCGCAGTTCGACTCGTCGCGTGATCGTGGCAAGCCCTTCACCTTTGTCGTCGGCATTGGGGCTTGCATCCGTGGCTTTGACGAGGGCGTCATGCAGATGTCGCTTGGTGAGCGTGCTGTCCTCACAATGACCTCGGACTACGGCTACGGCGCGTCAGGAGCCGGCCAGGCTATTCCGCCCAACGCAGATCTGGTCTTTGATGTCGAGTTGCTCAAGGTCAACGAGGCCGGCTCGGGTGCAAGTGCTGGCGGCTCATGCGTGCTACTCTGATGCTCTTCGGCTATCGCTTCTGTTGTCGTCTACTCCCTTTCATCAAGCCGGGATTCTGCTTGATGACGAGCTGGCTTGGCACTTGATGGTTCAAGCTTCTCCCACACTTGCGCAACACCGGCATTGAACACTTCTTCCTCTTCTTCTTCTTCCCACTTGACGCAACCCTGGGGGCTACTCTTGCCACACTTATCGCGACGCAAAGGGGCGGGAGGAGGAGGACAATGCCATCGTGACAGCAGCTCGCGCATGCACACGGCACACACCTCCTCCATCGTCTTCCCATCCATTCCGTCCTCCTCTCACACCCCGACGTGGTGTGGGCGACATCTCGGCAAGGTATTCACAGTCTCGTTTGCCGGGTGGTCCGACGAGCGATGAAAAGCATGGCGTGGCGACCAGGAGCTGCCGTCACACATTGCCGCACATGCCAGTCGGTCGTCCGTCTCCTGCCTTCTTTACTCCTCGGCCAGGTCGCCCGAGGCATTCATCTCAACCTCTCCAGCTCTTGATCATACTGATAGAAATAGCATTCAGCCCAGAGGCCATGCTCGCGTGCGCGGCATGCTGGGCGGACCCCAGGTTTCAGATGCTCGGGTGGTCGGCGCCTTGCCTGGCGGTTCACGTCGGCCTCGCCTTCTTTCCGTCGACAGCCGCTGTGGAAGCCTTCCTTGCTCAGCTCACGACCCGCATCAATGACGAGTATAAGGACCATCACGGGTTCATCACGTACGGCGACATTGTCAGCACTGCTCGCGATCAGCTCGGTTCCAAACCCAATGCCTTTTTCAGCTTGGAAGATGTTGGCCTGATGTTGGCTATGGCGGGCATGGACCCGACACCGGCCAGTGTCAACTTTAGCCTCTCGGATCGGACGAACGGCCAGAGCTGGGCCAAGTGCTTCAAGAGCCGTGTGGTTGACTTGATCTCCATGGCCATGGCGCACGCCAGCGAGGAGCATGTTAATCATGCGGGACTTACAGACACGTGCCTCTCGAGCTTGATCATGCCGTGCCTCGAAGGTCTTAATGAGGCCATTCAGACTTGCCTCGAGCGCCCCTACAAGGCGCCACGCGAAGCCAGCGTTGACTATGCTCTCGACACTTTCTTGGCATTTTGAACCATGCGCCAAGGGTGACAAAGCCAGAGTCGATCACACCGCCTTGCGTGCCCACGAGAAGACGTAGTATCGTGTGTGCACTGACCAGGCGCCAGCGCGGATGTCAGTGAGCCAGAAAGCACCGGTTGCGTTGCGCTTGAGATAAAGAACAAATTCACCCACGTCGACGCTCAGACCGTGGGTGTGCTTGAGCGAGAAGAGCAGGGTGTTGACGCTGTCCGGGACCTCGAGGGTGGCGATGGCATCGTCGTCGCGGATGAGGACTGTGCGCGGGCGATCGTTGTCAGGCCCGACGAGCGAGTACTCGAGCCGGTCCGAGTACTGTACCTCGCCGTCGCGGACCTCGGCGATGGCGCGCAGGCGCTCTCGCGACGGCACAATCGTCAACGACAGCGGGTTGCCGCTCTCGACAGCATCGCGAAAGGTGGCAAAGATGACATCGCGGATGGGATCCAGCATCGGCGCATTGGCCTCGTACTCTGCAGCCTTGCGCTCGACCAGCATCTCCTCAATATCGGCGTCTGAGACCGGGGGAACCGGTGAGGCCTGAGACAGCGATCCAAACGACATCAGGCCATAGTACTCGACCTCCTCCATGAGCCTCGTCTCTGAGCAGCCGGGCGGGACCTCGAACGATCCGGAGCGAAGAAAGTCGAGGATGGCATCAAAGTGTTTGCCGTTCCGATCGATGAACACATAGCCATCATCGTCGGTCTCTACCGCGTGCCGGCCGGAGAGCAGAGCCGAGAAAAGTTATTCTGCTTCCCGCCGCCCGTCAGCGTCGACAGGTGCGTCATGTGCCGCACGCCACCGACGTTGAGCTTGACCACACGGTCCTGGAACTCGCTCTCCCCGACCACACCCTCTCCACTGCTCATCCCGCTATTATCTGCGTGCTTGCTTACTCTCGAGTGAGCTGGCTGGCCACCCTGGCTCGCAAAGGCGAGCAGCTGGCCCCGACGGAACGGGCTGGCGGCGTGGTGGCACACCCGCCCGGTTTGGGGCGGCGCCCGGGTTGGGCGGCATGTGGCGAGGGCAAGGCGGGGGAATGGTTTTATGCCAGGTGGGGGGTGGGGAATGAATCATGCGCGCGGGAGCGGTAGGGCAGCATCGGCGACACGCTCGCCATACTCTTCGGCGAGGGCGCCGCGGACCATCGAGTCGCGGACCAGATCGTTGAGCTGCGGCTTGGTGGAGGCGGCCGGAGCATGACTACCGCCAGTGCCAGCAGGCGCGCTGGCGGCGGCTGGTGGGGCGACAAACGAGGCAGCGTTGCGGGCCCGAGCGGCGAGGCGGGCGGTGAGCGCGGCGTCGATGGCGTCGCTGATGGCGTCGTCCTTGTTGAATGTCACGTCGTAGGTAGAGAGCATGGTCGGCCGGCCAGCCTTGAGGATCGGGCGAGTAGAGAGCCGCTTGAGCTCGGAGATCTGGGCCTCGACCTCCTTGGCAGAGCGACCAAAGCCGAGCGCCTTGCCTGCCGTGGCCTCTGTCACCGATGCCTCCCACGCGTTGGCAGCAGCGGCGTAGGCCGAGAGCGATCCACCGAGACGGCCGTCTTCGATGGGCGCAGTGCGAGAAAAGTATCCCACGACACCATTCTCGTCGTCCTCGGTCAGCTGGTGGATGAGCCTGTCGAGCCCGGCGTCGCCATCACTGCCAGACGGCGGGCGGATGCCCGAGCGGGCAATGGCAGCCTTGCCAGCCGCCGAGTACACATACTGCGAGGGAGTGACGACAGAACCCGCCAGCGAGGCGACCACCTTTTCAGCCGTCGCATCCGTCTCATGGAAAGCGTTGCGGGCCTCAGTATTGATGACCGCACTCGCATCGAGCGTCTGCTTGGGTCGCACCACATGGCCGTTGGGCACGCTTGGCAAGCTCAGTTCAGCACGTCCACTGTGTGCCGCCAGGTATGTCGTTGCCAGCCCATTGCCCTCTCCGTCGTGCATAGTGACTGTGTGTATGTGACTGTGTTGGGTGTGTTGGGTGTGTTGGGTGTGGTGGGTGTGGTGGTGGTGGTGGTGGTGGTGGAGTGTGGTGGAGTGTGGCTGCGTAACGGCTGGCGCTGTGGTCACCGGTCGTGGCGGGTGTGAACGAGGCTGATCGACACGATCGTGTATGTTGTTGGTTTGCACATTGGTGGCGGGGATGTGATGTGGGGGGTGAATTGCGTGTGTATTTGGGCCTGAGTTGCTCCACTTGGAGAAGGGGGGGGGTTGCTGCGTGTCCAGCGTGTGACGAGAGCTGCGGCAGAACTCATGACACGGTAGCAAAGTCGAGAGAGAGAGAGAGAGAGAGGGAGAGAGACAGTCTCAAGAGCATGATGATCTACAATGTGCCATGTACAGTGACGATCGGGATGTCGTTGTCTATAGATGGTCCTCGGTGAGGAGGTGACACGGTCATGGCTTCTTTAAGTGTAGCTCCTTCAGCTCCTTGTAGGCGTCACGGGTGGCGTCGAGGCGGGTATCTGTGGACTGAAGTGCTGTTTCCAGAGCAGCTAGCCTCCGTGAGACGGCATTCGAGTCTTCGGTCATCTTATCACACATATCCCTGTTGCCCTGTGCCATCTCTCCCACCTGTGCCAGGTGGTGGAGGAACTGCTGCTTGTCGTCGTCGCCTCGTGTGCGTGCTGCCATAGCGAGCCCGTCGAGAGAGAGAGAGAGGAGGGAGGAGGGGAAGCGTAGGAGGAGGTATATATGGTGTATGTGTGTGGCGCGTGTGTGTGTGTGTGTGATGTGAGTGAGTGGTGTGTATGTGTATGTGCATGTGTATGCATGTGGCCGTGTTGGGCATTGTTGGCTGGAGAAAAAAAACCAGAAAGGGGGGGGGGGGGGGGGGGGGGGGGGGGGCAGAACCCCCGTACCAAGAGCAATGCATGTGCCATCATGACAAGCAAGGCACTCATGCAACGTGCAGTTTGTATCATACGGGTGCAAATGTCATGATGTTTGGTATCGACACTCGTGGCAAGAGGAGCTTCTTCGGTTTGATGGCGAGTAGTCGGGCTTGCGCGCAGGAGCATATCGTCTCAAAGACCGTTTACTCGGAGCGCAACAGCAGATCATAGCCTTGCAATGGCAAGCACCCTCTCGGTTGCCGGCCGAGCAGTCGCTCCACCGGCACGAAGACTTGAGATTTCCTCGCATGCACTGCGCTGGCTTCCTTGTGCCAGCACATCGTGCCGATTGGCACGGTGGCCCGCGTGTACATGAGCCACAGCCGCGTGCTCGCGTACACACGAGATCATGCCCTTTCCCGCTTACCCGGAGCCAATCAAGTCGACGCCATTGGAGCTCTCTGTGAAGTAAGATGCTTCGCATCGCTCAGCCGCCCGCGAGTGCAAGCGATTGGTGGCAGCCGTGGCAGCACTTTGGCGCATGCCGTGCTGTTGACCACCGTGACACGAGTTGGCACGTGAGACACGTGCTCCACCACCAGCTCAGCCATAAAATTGCTTGCTCGCGTTTGTGTGGTAGCACTTCACTTTCCGGCCAGTGCGCTGTGACCACCGAGGGCACCCCCTACTGTGCCTTTGCTTTCTCCACATCTTTCACCACACCATGCCTACTTTGTCATACCACCAGGTATGCATTGTGTTCCTTTTTGCCTCGATCACACTCGCTGCTATGGCTGTCCATCCCTCCGCGCTCTGCGCGAGCAGTGCGGACGACGGCACAAGTGTTTGCAAAAGTTGCAAGGCAAACGCTGCGCTAACCCCAGCCGGTACTTGCTTCCCGTGTCCGTATGGAACGTTCTCTGAGGGCGGAAGCTCGCCCTGTGAGCCATGTGACATCTCATGCATGGCTTGCTCGCGTATGGCTAGCAACTGCTCCGCCTGTGCTCCTCCTGCTGTCCTGTCCTTGCCACCCGTCGCCTTTCCCAATTCGCCAAAATTGGGTCGTTGCATCGTTGCCACTTTGGCCAAAAGGCAGCGGCATGGCCATGGCGGCGATGACCTTGCTCAAGACTCGAGTGGTCATGCACCCGTTCGCCATCCTGGTCCTACACCGGAACTAGGACCGTCGTCGCCTCACTTCCGCCCGCGGGCCGTTCCGCCGACCACCCAACCTTGTATCGCCCCTGCGCCATCCAAGGGCCGAGCCGTGGTCCGGGCGAAGGCATCCGACTCGTCGCGAGTGGTGACCAAGCTCGCCGAGGGCGAACAAGTCACGGTTGTCCTCTCGCGTAGGACCCATCTCTCCAACAACCGCCTCGATCTGTTGTCTGGCCCCGATGACGAGTTTGTCTACGTCCGGGCTGGCGACCACTACGGTTATGTCCACTCCTCGGACGTTGCGCCGCTGCCGGCTGATGCCTCGTCTTGCACGAGCTGCATGTTTGCGCCAGAAGATCCGGTCTCGGTCTACCGGACGCCCTCTCTGGGGAGCCACTCCGTCAGAGTCTCCGCTCAGGAGAAGATGCATGCCTTCTCCAGGCGCGATTATGCTCGATTCGCGCCTGCTGGCTGGCATCCTGTTGTCCACAACGGCGCGCTCGGCTATATTCCCGTGAGCATATCGGAGCCATGTACTCTATGTGGGCCGTGTGGTCCGTCACCCACGCCTTCTCCTTTCCCCATGCCTACGCCTGCACCCACACCCGCTCCAACGCCGGCCCCTGTGCCATCTCCGCCCCCACCATCGCCGCCACCACCGCGCCCACCGCCGTCGCCGCCCCCACCATCGCCGCCACCGCCACGCCCACCGCCGTCGCCGCCCCGACGATCGTGACCTCTGCGCGCCCCACAACGTCGCCGCCTATCGTTCTACTGTAAGTGAATGCATATGATCAAGCTGTCCCCGAACGAGGCCCCTACCGCACGCACGGCTGGACAGAGCCAATATAATTACATTGACTCATC